CATATCCGTAACATTATATATATATATACACACATATAGAATGTATGATAAATATTTTATTATAGTACTATATTTCTTAACAATTTGATTACAATAGCATCTCTGATCAATATACATAATTACAAGATAATACGAACTGAAATTCAATTTAGATATTATTTTTTAAATGAAAAATTAAGATACTAGAAATTTAAATATCCTATAACATTGAGGAAGCAACTTGGCCAACCATATAATGAAATAATACCAAGTAATGCCTAGGAAGAAACAATCGAATTCTAATAATTACTCGAGCGTTATATTATACAGTACCAAATAATGTATTTAAATTGAGAGTTTTTAAACAATATTTGTATCAGTTTATGAGATAATAAAATAGGTAATATATTTTTTGTATGATGTGTAATTTATATATATACATACATATATATATACGTACATCATATATATATATATATGTATATACAATATGTATATAAATGCATGTGTTCGTTTTGCAGATCTCGATCGCTATTCGAATATATTTTAATCTCTTGAAATAATTGTATAAATATAATACTTTACGATGGTTCAAGTACGATATACTCGTAACTTATTTTTACGAGGAATATGTATTATATATCTTTTTGCATTTCTTAGTTTTTATATACAAATTCCGGGTGAGTACAAATTAAAAAGTTTAAAAATAAGAAAATATATGATTTTTATACATATTGTTTGTTCAAGCAATTTATTTTTTTCTTTTTATTTATAATGAAGGATTGTATGGCGATAATGGCATTCTACCTGCTAGAACTCAAGTGGATCTTAAAAGTCGTTCACCTTTACTTCATAAATTAAGGCAGAAACCAACATTACTGTGGTTTGCTCCTTACCTTGGTCTAAACATAGAGTATATGTTAGATGTATTATCACTCATAGGCGTTGTCCTTTCCTTTGCAGGGTAATTTTTGGATCATCGCTGTAATTTATAGAACTGTAAATATAAATACCAACAATAATGTAAATATTGATTATTTTCAGATTTATCTCACAAAGATTTTGTATTGCATTGGTGTTTGTAGTACTTTGGTCATTATATTATTCTCTATATCAGATTGGTCAAACATTTATGTGGTTTCAGTGGTAAGTAATTTTTTAATAATTTTGTTGTTTATAGTTTTATATCTTTAAACTACAGAGTAATGTATCAATTAATAACATAATTTGATTATGAATAATTTCGTTTTTGTGTCAATCTAATCTAATATATCCTATTTCAAGTAATTGGTTCCGAGTTATATTTGAATGATAAAATATATATTGATTTTATAACATAGTTAGAAAGATAACTTACTATTTATAAAAAAGTTATGATATATTAATATTATATTATTATATTATATTAATATAATTTATTGCATATTTTTACAGGGATGTACTTTTATTAGAAGCAGGATTTTTATGTATATTTGTAGCACCATTTTGTTATTCTCAACGCGGAAAAGTAAATACACCAAGTGATGCTGTAACTTTTTGGACTGTACGTTGGTTACTTTTCCGCTTAATGTTTTCCAGTGGAGTAGTGAAACTTACTTCTGGTTGTCCTGTATGGTGGAAATTAAATGGTATAATATTTTGACAAACATATATTAATACTATAGTCAAATTAAAGGAGAATGTTTATTTCTTTGCAATAATGTTTCAGCTCTAAATGTACATTTTGAATCACAATGTATACCTACTCCATTAGCATGGTACGCACATCATTTGCCAACATGGTTTTTACGTTTTACTACTGTGGTTGTCAATATTTTTGAACTTGTCATTCCATTTTTGTTCTTCTTCCCAAACAGAAAAGTTAGAATAATTGCATTTTATACACAGGTAAATGTATTTAATTGATAAATTAGTATTTATATTACTTAATTCATAACATCTGATTATTTAATAATCTATTAATAATCTATTCTGTTAGGTATTTCTTCAAATACACATTATAGCAACAGGAAATTATAACTTTTTTAATTTTTTGACTATTTGTTTATGCATCTCTTTGCTCGACGATCAATTTTTTTATAAAAGAAAATCTAAAAATGATACTTACAATATCATACAATCTTTTTCAACAATATTGTGTATTGTAGTTTATGGAGTAATTTTTTATGCAACATACGTATATTACAATCTTAGAATATCTGATAACTGGACAATCCAAAGTGACATTGGTATGTAGATATTACTAGCGAAAGACATAAATATTTCTCTTAAAGATTGCTTTTATTATTTATTATTTCAGCATTTACAGAAGAACAATTTGATTACGTTCTATCACGAACAATTCCAGTTTCCATCTATATTGGTGTAATATCTCTTGCAGTTACAGTGGCAAATGCACTAGTTACGTCTTTATTCTCTATCAAAGGAATACAAAATAAGATCTTCACAACATCTGTTACAAGTCTCTATACAGCAGTAGTTTGTTTTATCTTTGCAATAAGTATTGTACGTACCATATGTGACTATTTATGATATTTAAAATCGATTTTCACAATATTTTTGTATTTAGGTACCGTACGCTACTTTACATCACTCTCATAATTCAACGATACCAGTTCAACTAAGACAAATACAAGGGAAAGTCGAGCATTTTCGTCTTGTAAATAGTTACGGATTATTTAGACGCATGACTGGAGTGGGAGGTAGATTGGAAGTAATTGTCGAAGGAAGCAATAACATTGATGGACCATGGAAAGAATACGAATTTTTATATAAACCAGGAAATGTTAATAATTCATTACCATTTGTTGGTTGGTCATTTCGAAAATTGATATCTTATATCTTTTTCCTTATTTCCAAATTATATTTATTAATTATTTTTTATTATACTCAGCTCCTCATCAACCACGGCTTGATTGGCAAATGTGGTTTGCTGCGTTAGGTAATTATCACCAAAATCCATGGTTAATGTCATTAGCGTATCGCCTTTTAAGTGGTCAACCAGAAGTATTGGCTCTAATGAACAATGTAGAAAATCCATTTATTGAAAAACCACCTAGATTTATCAAAGCTAGTCTTTATCGTTATCATTACACTCCATGGAGTCAATCGTAAGTTGTACACATTTATGTTATATCAGATTATTTTTAAGTTTGAATGATCTTAATTATATCTTGTTATTTTATTCTTGTTTAGGTGGAACAAACAAGCTTGGTGGACAAGAGAAAAAATCGGGGAATATTTTCCAATATTTAGTCACGATCATCCACCACTTATCGAATATTTATCAAAAATGAAAATTATTCAAGATAAACCGATTTTCAAAATAACAAACGAACCGTTAAAACTATTCTTCGATAGTATTAGATCCTTAATTCATAAAATTGAAGCCAGCCTTCTTTTATGGGGAGTTTTTACTGCAGGTTGTACGATTATTATGACTAGCTATAATAATTCAATGTTAAAGAAAAAGTAAGTATCTCATTTTTGTAACACTCTCAGTGAAAAATAATTCATAGTTGGTTATATTTGTAAAGACTTGCGTATAGATATAATCAAATTTAATTGTTTTCATGCATATAAATTATTTCTTAAATTATGCATAGATTATATTTTTACAAATATATAATCATCTGCGTTCTACTTTTTCTTTTCTTTTCTTTTCTCATATATTTCAATCAAACATTTTTGTATCATCTGCCCTGGTACAAATTTAGAAAAAATAGAAGAGGAGAAGTAGAAACAGATTTATTAAGAAAACAGGTAATTTATTTCCCATCAATAATATTGTGAAATATTTGTACTAAACTTAGGAACGATAATTTGTTATTTTTATACATTCGAAAAGTTTGTTTGCTGTTTCATATATGTATTAAACGCCTTTTATTTTATTGAAAAACAGAACATATCTGCTCCATGACATTTCACTGTCTATACGATAATACTCTAAATCGCATTTAAGAAAATGAACGGTCATTATTTGCAATCTATTTTTCTGAATGTATTTCTTTTAAATAACATAAATGTACATAATATGTTCTAAAATTTATTGTGAGTTTAATAAAGAAAAACTACCAGAAAGTTCACTTAAGTATGTTAAAAGATCTGTATATGTTTTAAAGCGTAATTGTTTGGTATCTTTTTTTTTTGAGCAATGAAGAAAGAAATTTTATTGTAGCAACAGTAAATGACATAATTTTGAAAGTTTAATAATTTATCTATCAGTGATTTGAATTCTTATATTCTTTATTAGATTTTCATGAAATTTTTATTTTTTTTTTAATAATATATATTTAATATATATTATAATATATAATAAATTTAAAATAATAATATATTTAAATATAATTTTATGTAATACAATTTGATTAAAACAGTATAAAATATTTAGAAAAGATACTTAGAATTACTCTGTACAAACATTATGTATGTTACTTTGATCGATATACTAAAATTCAAAATATACAATATAATGGAAATATAACTATATAATATAATGGAAATTACACTACTTTGTCTAATAAGTTCAGTTTTTAATTATGAAAATGTTCAGGCATAGGAAAATTTTTTTGTTTTCCTTTTCTTTTACAAAAAAAATTTCTAATTTAATTTGTATATTAATATACAACAGTTCATAAGAATTAATAGTAACAATAATAATAAATACACACAAAAAAAAAAATCTAAATATCACAATTTTCTCCACAAGCTGCTATTTAAGTGATTATATTAAAAGGGAAGGAGCGGAATCCATAAAAGAAAATATAGTATCAAGATTTCATTCAATAAGAACTATTATTTGATTTTTCTTTTTTTGTATAACAAAGGAAAAGATAAAGTATGTTACTTAAAGAATTGCAAATTATGATAAAATATTAAAAATTTTTAAAAGTTTAAACGTCAAATTTCCTCAATCTTTTTTGTATTTTACGAACTAAACAAAAAATAAGAAAAAAGAACAAAATAGAAAAAAATCCTTTTATACCGCATCAACTATTTCAGAAAAGTATTATAACTTCAACAATAATACCACACTTACGCACTATGTCCATGCCTTTTTTAAATGATTAAATTAATTCAGTTAATGTTAAGAATTTGGAAATACATTTTTGTAAAATGCATTATGCACGAAAGTACAATGCATATGTTTTATAATATAATAATTAGAACAATTATTTTCACTTTTACTTTCATAATTACATTTTATTTTCTGAACGATGTATGTATTATTGTCTGAAAGAATTAATACGTTGTTTCAAAGAGTTGTCACTTTTGTAAATATTAATATTCTATGATTTTCAATAGAAATTGTCACCTTTTATAGCCACTATACAATGAATAACTAAACTTTTCTCAAAAAAAATGTATCTAAACACGCAAAACTCAATCTTCGATTAGTTTTACTTACATGTATATATATTTTAATTACTATTTTCTTTCACACATCTTTACCGAAAAGTTAGCAATCAAATGATAATAATTTTACAAAAATTTAGTCGTAAATAAAATCATGAATCATAATATAATTCATTCATCAATTCATTATACATTACAATGAAAATATAATATAAATATACATGTGTATTAGTATACTTAAAATATAAATCGTTGAAAAATTATATTATTTACGCGGGAATTAACGTATTACCTTATTTTGGCGAAATAAAATTCACTTCTATTTTAAAATAGGACTTTTTTTTATTTTAAATTAAAACTTCTAAAACGGATTTTACAGACTTGAGGTATAGACAAAGTAAGAAATATATTGATTATATTTTTAAAATATTCTAATATCTTTGAAAAGAATTTTTATTTAATATTTGTTATTTGTTTGTTTTTATGTTTGATTAATGTGTCTGATATCTGAAACAGATTCAGATTCTTTCTTTTTCTTTAAACAGAGTTTAACTTTTGGCTCATGACCTACATGAACTTTTGGCAATGAAACTTTTGACAAGCCTAATGGATATTTAAATAATTTCTCTAAACGTGTTTCTAATAAATTAAATGCTTCTTGAAATTCCTTTGATCGCATAAAATATTTATCAGGAATACGATACCTCTCATTTAATTGTTTTACGTATGTCAAATTTTTAAAACTTAATAAAGTTGCATAGCTAACATACATCTGGGTAGGTATGTTGTGTTTTTGGATAATTATATCTGTATTATAATTAGATGATAAGTAATCTTCAAGATTATCACTTAATATACTTCCTCGTTGGTTGTTTTTTATGCACGTTTTCGTATTTTGACATTTGTTTCGAGACTTTATATGTTGAGAATTATTATTGCCATTTTCAAGAGGAGTGACAGCATCAATATCAGAACAAACGACAGATTCTACTTTTCTCCATATTTTGTCAGTCGGATTATTTTTATCACTGCTATTATTGGTACAACATTGCTTTAATGGTCGTTTTGTTAAAAATGTAGTACAGTTTCGAGTTTTAAGGGCTAAGTCAGAACATTTTGTACTACTAATTTGAAATGAACGAGAGAATTTCTGAAATTGCAATTCCTGTTCATCGTCGATATGAGAAATTACAATTTTTGGAGTATTAAAATCTATAGGGGCTTGAATTATAAACCTGTTGTTTTTGTTTAAATTATAATCAATACAGTTATTTAAATTTTTTAATTTTATCTGTGAATTAGAGGAATGTGTAGGTATAAAACTAGAATCTTGTGCAAGTTCATTTGTACCGAACATGTGTGATTTATATTTCTCTATAATCTCAAAATACTTTTTCTTATCATTTTTTATTTTTATATATTCCCTCAAAGAATGCAAAAGCTGTTGATTTCTATTATTTAATATTTTACTAATGTCATTGGACATACAAAGTTTGGCATCTAATATTTGCAAAATATTATATAAGCTTATTGTGTTACATTCTAATTTCTCCATGTTATAAAATTTCGATCTGTCCACCAATTCTTTTACCTTACGTTTCATATGAAAATATTCGATTAATTTCTGATCTATATCTATATCTATATCATTATCACAATCTTTATTGGTAATACTGCTATCAAATTTGGATGTACAAAAGACTTGTCCTGTTTCATTTTCTGAATATTGTTCATTATCATAGTAGTAACCATGTAGTTTAAAGACAGAGACACCTCTTTTTATATATTTCTGCAATGCCTTGTATCTGTGCCTTAAGTAGGTTCTAGTTTTACCTGAGAATTGTTTAGCTATCATAGACCAATTTGGACCAATGCTGTTGAAGAGTTTAAGTAATTTTGTATCTTCTTCAAATGTCCATGAATTCCGCTTTTGATTTTGGTTAATCATTAACGTTTGATAGCGATCGTGAAGCTGAACAGTAGATCTATTTGGCATCAGTATAGCCGATATTTTATGAAAATTTGTACCATACTTAGTAACGGCATTTTTCAAAATGTCATCTTCAGTTTTAGTGAATCTGCCTTTTGTTAAATATGGTGTTAAGCTGTACGACCATCGAAAATAAACTTGTTGCTTAGTTCTATTTTGCATCCAATTAGTTATCTCACCCCAAGGAATGAAATCACCGATCTGAAATATTTCTACCAGTTTTGACAGCCTTTTGTCTTCTTCATTTTTCCAAGTGCATTGAACTTTGGGTAGTTTCTTTGTTGTATTGTATCTGATGAGACATTGATATGCTGTACGATTTGTACTCAATTCCTTTGCAATCTTGTCCCAATCTTGATACTGATACTTCTTGGCGATTTTCCTGAGTTTAATATCCTCTGACTTTGTCCAACGCTTCCTATTGATGTCAGGGTGCAAGTAAACATTCCACATAACGCAACAATCAAATGGAGAGTGTACCTCTTCAAAATAGACAGATGATATTCTAAACCAATTGTACTCTTTTTCCTGTAATGGACTGATTTCTTCCAAAGCATCCATTGATGAAAACTTTGCCTTTTCTTCCTTCTGCCTCTCAATTTCTTTTGTTACCGCGTTTAAAAGAGTGTCTCTTTCCTTTTTTGTCCATGCGGATATTTTGGGAAGATTTTTCAGCTGCAATTCTTTACAGTTTTCTTTCAATATTTCGTCCGTATTGTTGGAGGCAGAGAAGTAACGTTTATCCTTAAAATACGGCATACCAGCGTTGTAAATTAATATCTTTTTATTCCCAACTGTATGCGTTTCTAAACTACACTCTATCGCTTTCAATTTTTGTTCACACTTTGCAAGAGCGAAAGTTATGTCGCTTTTCAAGTCCATCAAAGAGGAAATTATTTGTTTGTTAAATTCTAACATACGATTGCAGTTTTCGATATTATGTTCCGTGAACTTGTCATCAGTGTTATTTTTGAGTGCGTCCACTCGATTTTTGGCGGTATCTCGCTGCGGATCATCGATGAATTCATTTGCCTCATAATTATTTTCAAAATGATCTTCATTGTCTAATATTATACTTTCTAATAACAGTATTTCGGCTAGATTCTCGTCATCCTCATTGAGTACCGTGTTCATCATGCATAGACTTGCAAAGAAATTCTAGCACTATTCTTGTCAATTATCTTATACTATCGATCAACATTAAATTGCATCGATTCACGAATCAGCTTGTGAAAAATTATTTATTATATCAGTGTGTGTACATACGTATCGTAAATAAAATTACAAAAGATAAAAGTTTCGGATGCATTACAAGTTATGTTATAAAATTCTGAAATTACGTTCATTTACATACGTGTTTGATCGTGATAAACAAAACGTGTCAAAAACAGTTTTTAAAATGTGACGAGTTTCTTGACTGTTACGCTGCTCTCCTTATACCTGTTACAATGTCTAACTACAATGTGTTCTGCAGCATTAATCACAACTCAAAACGATAACGATAAAATTGTGTATTGAGTCGGCCATCCAATTGTCACTGAAGTAAACTCCCACAATATTACTATTACTATTACTATAATAAACAAAACAGTGAAAAATTGGTTAATGGAATCGCAAGATTTTGACATTCGACCGGAAGTTGTGCACATATGTTTACGATATAGTTCGTGCAGAAGTGGTGCATGCGCAGTCTCTACGGCCTGAATATGTCGGCTGGGTAAAATACGTTAATTGTTATCATGACTGGAATGATTTCCTTTGGTTAAGTTCGTTGCTGTTAAATCGCTGCGAAATTGTTCGTAACTGAAAAACTGGAAGGTACGAGTACGATAAATATTACTAATACAGAAAGTCAAGCCCGCTATATCGTAGATTAAGAAATTTAGTAAAGAGGGCCTTATGTCAACTCAGTTCAACATTGAAGGGGCCGACGACGTGTGCCAATATGAAGAAGCTGTTTTCAAAAATCGAAAACACGTCGAAGGAGCCTAACAGTTACATAGGGAAAGTTTTTGTGGTGGGACGTTACACTGTCACCGTCGAGGAGGTTTTGGCCGAAGGTACGTCTCATTATCAATCTTGAATACGCATCACCCCTTCCCACTGTTTCGCTGGGCTGTTCGATTATCTTTTGCTTCTTGGGTGCAACTCGTTAGAACAAAAAACGGCAATGCAATTAATTGGGTGATGTCGAACGCGAACGACAAATTGATCGTATTAAATTAAGACCATCGGTAGCAACGTGCACACTGTTTGATATTTTTGTTATTTCAGCTGGTATGTTTAACTTTTGCATTACGTTTCTCGTAACTTGCACTTGGAAAATCTATCGATGTTATTTAACATCATTGCAAAGTTAATATAAAGAATTGTGTTTTTCCTTTGTAAACTGGCCTTTATTTGTTATATTTTATGTAGAAACTTTGTTGCACAAGATCCAAAAATGTATCTAAAAATTAATCAAATATGTGCTTGAACAAAAATATGGTACCTTGAGATATATAGGGAAAGATGTAAATAGATGAACACAACTACTGTTGTTGTGGAAAATTTAATTGAATTTTGTCGTATCATATTGTATCATAGTGTAGCAATTGATAGATTGCTTATATCAACAACTTTAACATTTATCGACATTTGATATCTATACTTTGTTATTGCTACGTAATTATATGTTCTAACTAATATATGTCCTAATTATATGTTATATTATTACAGGAGGATTTGCCATTGTATTCCTGGTAAAGTCATCGAGTGGACGTTATGCGCTTAAACGCATGTATGTTAACAATGATCATGATCTCAACGTATGTAAAAGGGAGATACAAATTGCAGTAGGTTTCACATATGTTTTTAAATGAAATAGAATTTTTTACACAAAGAAAATTGCTCACTCTATTTTCTGGCTTCTGTCTGTATCTTTGCATTTTTATTTTCAGAGTAACTTGAATGGTCACAAAAATATCATAGGATATTTGGATAGTAGTATCACTCACATTGGTGGAGGGGTACATGAACTTCTGCTCTTAATGCCTTATTGCAAATCTCAAGTTTTGCAGATGATGAACAATAGGTTGAGAATGCGTTGAGCAAGTTTTAATAGATGTATAAGATATGAAAAAAAATTCAAAAATACTTACTGACTAAATTATTTACAGGTTACAAACAGGATTTAACGAATCTGAAGTTCTACAAATATTTTGCGATGTTTGCGAAGCTGTATCTCGATTGCATCACTGTCAGACACCAATAATACATAGAGATTTAAAGGTTTGTGTCTTTCATATGTTATAATTTTCATCAATGTATGCTGATAATAGTAATTTGATAGTATCTTCTTCATTTGCTTACTTAAAATCTTTTTTAGATTGAAAATATATTGTATTCTGATACTGGCCATTATGTATTATGCGATTTTGGTTCTGCAACAGCAAAAATTCTTAATCCTAGTGTACAGGGTGCGGCGATAGTTGAAGAAGAAATTAAAAAATATACAACCCTCAGTTATAGAGCACCTGAAATGGTTGATATGTACTGTGGGAAACCTATTACAACGAAAGCAGATATATGGGTAGAATAAATTAAAAATTTCCAATTTAAACAATTTATTCACAGAAGAAAGCAATAAACGTGTAATATTTCATAAATCCTTAGGCATTGGGGTGTTTGTTATACAAACTTTGTTTCTTTACATTACCGTTTGGAGAAAGCACACTTGCCATACAATCGGGAAATTTTACAATACCAAATAATTCAAGGTTTGTTCTTTGTAAATGTATATATATATATTTTTTTTCACAGATTTTGTTTTTATATATAATAAAATATTGCAATATCGTATAAAAGTATTGCAACTATTTTATGTTGTATAGATATAGCAGAAGTCTTCATTGCTTAATTCGTTATATGCTCGAACCGGATTCTGATAACCGCCCCGATATTTATCAAGTGTCTGTGATTGCATTCCAAATTCAGGGAAAAGAATGTCCAGTACAGAATTTACATGTATGTATTAAATATTTCATCTGTAAATTTGTTTAATATTGTATTCAAATAACTAAGAGGAGAAAAAGAATATCTATAATATATATATAATAAATATAATGGAAATACAGATATATGTATACACATAGCATATCGTGCATGTCGGATTTTGTAATGAAATTTGTATCCTTTTTTTAGAAAGTTCAAACACCAGTTTTGGAATCATTACCTTGTCCATCTATGGAATCTGACAACGTGAAGAGGTCGTCACTAGTTAAGACACCAAAACCGACTCCAGTAACTACTGTTGAGGGTACGTCAGTCACACCAAGACAACGACCAAAAGGACAGGCTGTGAGCACAGGTCCGATAAGCCTAAGCGGTCAGATTGTGAGCCAAATATCTGGTCAAGGCAGTCAGGTTCAATCACAAAGTTCCGTAGGGAATACGATTTCGTATGTTCAAATGGGTCAACAACTTGCTCCATTGAACACATCACAACCTTATTTAGGGCAAAATATGCAACCAAATGTTCAGCCATTACCAGTGAACACTCAAGCATCTGCTCATCAGGTTTCAACACTCACCCAAGTTTCGCCGCAAGTTTGTTGCGCCACTATTAATCAGAATGTTCCCTTTGGACATCAATCGCAAGTCCAAAAATCGCAACACAGTCAGTCACAATGTTCTACAGTTAGACGATCTCCTGTAAGTGTTCAAGATACAGTAAGTTCGTATTACTTTGATTCATCGGTGGCAACAAATGTGAACGAAGAAAATCTAGAAGCGCTATTTCCACCATCTGGTAAGAAGATTTATGTATGCAGATTTTGTCAAATTTTTCTCCATTAGGTCTTATTTAGATTATTATATTTGTACAGGTTATCCAGATCCGTTTAAAGATGATAACCGAGCTATGCCACCACCCGCAAAAATACCACCACCCGTCGCTCCTAAACCCTCTAAAATTCTATCCAAGGCATCAAATTCTACTAGTTGTCCACCTCCCAAATTTACACCTGTAAATTCGTTAACATCGAAAATAAATACTCCGACAGGGACTAACATTACGCCTGTAATAGTACCAACTTTACCAAAACCAGTCAATAAGACCGAAAGTTTAAGTCAAAATATAAGTTCAAGTATTTCTCCACCCGATAGTCCGACACACTCTTCGGTACGTCATAGAAGAAATGTTAGCGACACAAGTGCTTTTAATAAGTGAGTATATATATTCTTTTCCATAAAATTGATTTATATCGGAATATTTAGAAAATCTATGAAACATTTATTTGTTGTTGATATTATAGAGCATTTGCAAGCGAAACAACACAATTTCTAGCACCATATGAAGCTTCAGTGAAATCACGTTCGGAAGATGCTACTACTCCTGAAGTTCAGACTGGCGTAAGATCTTGTCTAGGATCTAGCGCTTCGCATGTACGTATTGTAAGTACATAAATTGCACTGATTTGTCTTAATAATTTTCTTTAATGTTCATTTTATATCTATCATTTAACTTTAATTGTTGTCGTTTTTCGTTATTGTATCGTTTAAGGATATTTGTTATTTTGCATTTATACGTACTGTATTAATAATATATTTTATTATTTTCGAATCACGAATTTATTATTGTATCTAAGTTTATTATGATTATAGATTGCTTGAATTATGTAATTTATTATTTTTATTTTTTGTACAGCACACACTTAGAAACATATAGGATATACGTTGTCAATATTTTTGATATATTTAAGATCATTAAAAAGCTTATAATGTTTTTAATTAGGGCGAACTTTCAAGCGTAACTGCTACTGAAGGAAGGTCTTTAAGCGCGGATGTAGCAGCTTGGAATCCGTTTGAAGACGTACAACCCTTCAATCAGCTAACAGAAGATCATATTTTCGGTGCCGAGTTTGATAAAATTAGAAGAGGAAGTAATGCAAGCATCGCTGGTGTAAAAAGTCGCGAAAGCCTTGTTATGACGTATGCAGAATTACCGGAAGATCCATTCGAATCCGCACCTTTTAGTTTGCCAAGTAAGTAATAAACGTGTGTGGTTAAATTCATATTTTATTAGTAGTTTTGCTTCTAAAAGTATAGTCGGTATTAATTGTAACATAAATTTTTAATGTCTTTTGTGCAACATAATGCTTTTTGTTTAAAATAATACAATTAACATATTGACTTTAATTTTTTAGCAGGAAAGAAGAACAAAATTGGGTCAAAGACTGCCGCACTTGCTGGAGGTAATGCATAGACTGCTTCGTATACGTTCTTATTCCATTTGCCTTTTTCTCCTCTATGAGTCTGTATACAGCAGAATTTTACAAATGATACGTAATGTACGTAAACGTATTAAGCATAATCTACAATTCATATTCTTCCTTTTCTTTTACTTTTCTTTCATTCTCTTCTCTCTTTCTCTCTCTCTCTCTCTCTCTCTCTCCTCTCTTCTCTTTCTTTCTCGCTCTTTACTTTCCATCGAGTCATAGACAAATGATACACTCAGGGCTGTATAATTCTTCCTTAAGTTTATGTCTATTTTTTTAAATATAGATTTTTATCAAAGACGCAAGGTTAGTTTAAATCGAATGGGCTGTCTAATGTGATATGAATAATGTAATTTATAAAATGATGTATCGATACGGGACAAATGTTGCAAAGACGAATCTCTATCAAAGATTACATTCTTAGATAAACGTGTTCTAAATCTATTTATTAATTACTTGCAAATTCAGTATCTAAAATGGATAATGTGCATGTGGACAAATAATGTATACAGACTTACTTTTTTTCTTGATCTATGTGCTTAAAGATTTAAAACAAAAGAATAATATATAAAATAATTTATTCTCGGTGTATGTTGAAAACGATTGCAATAATGAATTTATGCATGATTATTCTTGTAGAGTTACACTATGACTTTTTCGACTCAAGAAATGATTGAGTATTATCTGTGATGAGATATAAGAAAAAAGCGATTAATTTTATTAATACAAGAATAAAGCATACACAATTATAGTAGAAAACAAGAATTTTCTTTATTCCGTTTTATCATCGGCACTTTATACACACACACACACACACACACACATATATAGGGTATTTTATTTCACATTCCTTAACATTAATAATTTTTTAAGTATTTGCAACATAATAATGAAAAGAAGTTAACAATAGTTTATTTGTATTAATACGTACAACATATAATGATGATAAAAAATTTTTAGATACTTTATTATCACTATATATTGTATACTTGATACAGATAAATTTTCGTTGAAAAATTTTTTGGTTACATTGTGTCAAATACTTAAAAAATCGTGCGGACGTTAAGTGAAACATTCTGTATGTAACATCAGGTATTGAACAAAATTAATTGCATCTGGGTGGTGACGCACATGATAGACCAATAGAGCAATAATGTGTAAAAATTCCTTGTAACATACAGGAATAGGATAACACGATTCGAGACGATGATCAATTCCAGAACAAAAGAAACGAGAAAAGACAAGAGAGAAAAGGGGAATGTATAAAACAAAATAAGTTATTACGAATTATTAGACAAGGGTTTAGATTAGAAAATTGCCAGCCCTACAGGATGGGATTCTTCATATAAAAAATTGACAAATTCGTTCGCTTTAAAGTGAGCGACAACCACTAACAACAAATGAATAATTCACACAAAACTTTACCATCATATTAACTAATTTCCAAAATGAAGATTACAAAATCAAATTAATATCATGATTTGTGCTAGATTGATGTCTTTCGTAAGATATGTTTCGAATTACCAAAGATGGAGAAATAATTAGATGTTCTAACACGGTGACATAAGAAAAAAACAGGCAGAAGAATAAGAGAATACAGTATATTATTATAGAAGTAGACGATAAAAAAAGAAAGATTAAAAATTAGACGAAAAAAAAAAAAAAAAGAAAAAAAGAAACTGATATATATTGAACGAGAAACGTGTGTAAAAATTGTAAAAATCGCAGTTGATAAATATCGATGATGTTTATTATTGTGTACAAGATGGATATAATTTGATTTCGATGTTGCGAGACGCAGAAAATTCCAATGTTGTTATATATATATATATTGAATTAAGGATTTTAAAGGTAATCGCGAAAGGATAATATTACGTTATTTGATATGTTGATATCGAGCTCACTTTTTCGTTATATGCATTTCCGAAGGGGAAAGTTTGCGAAATGTTAGTCGCGATCGTTGTTGCTATCTGATGTATTATTGTACTGTTCGTATGTTTATCAATTAATACACTTGAGGTGTATATCGAATGGTGTTTCTCGTGGTTGTATATCTGTAGATAAGTGAAAAAAAATATTACAGATAATAAGAATTTAAATAAATGGTGGCGGTAATAAAATGATATTTCACGTTTAGAAACAATTTTATGATTATCGGTTATCAATTGTTCATAAAGATACATGTTACGACATATTTTAATTTCATTTCTATCCCGTGAAATTACGTAATTATGTACGTTACATACAATTCTGTGTATATATGGTATCCTACTTAAAACAATTTTCAATGTATATTCATAAATAATACAACACGATT